AAACATGTAAAACATGTAAAACATGTAGGGCTGCGGCCCCCCAGGACCAGGGTTGCCCACCCCTGCCATAGATCAGTGCTTGACTTTACTCTGTTGCACTATTTGATTCTGAGTATCAATCAGCTCCCACACTAGTCTCAGGTTGTTGCATTACATTCAGTGTAAAAACATGTTGTGTGGTTTCTTCATTTACCCACTCTGCAGGCTCCGCCCTTCTGTGTGTGTCCATGTGTGAGTCACACAACTGCTGTGTCACATTCATGAGCAACCTGAGGTGTAACACTACAGTGTGAAACACCTGTCTGCTTGTTTCACATTATATTCATRATCAAACACCTGGTGAAACATGACTGTAAAGTAGTTAGCACAAAGTCTGGCTTCTTGTGTGTAAAGTTGAAGGTGTGGGCCAGCGTCGGCTGGTTGTGGGCCAGCGTCGGCCCCAGCTGCGTGTTAGCCCTGTGGACAAAGGAACTCTACTTTAACAGATCATGAACACTTTTCATTTGTTCACAGTTACAGCTCTGTCTTTACTTCTGGAAATCAACATTTTATTTACATCTTTATGGTTTTCATTAGAAAAGTCTGAACCTTACGAGGAAAACAAAGGTTTTCACGTTGCTGGATTAAAACAAAAAGAAAAGTTGTACCACATGATAAACATTTCTCTCCTGAATGATTTGAAAACAATCAGTTGTTTCAGCATGTAGAGGAATAAAAATGCACTGTACACTGAAATAGTTGAACATTTYCCCCACAGTTCTCTTCATGTTTTAGTTGCCACTGTGTGAGGTGTTGGGTTTTGTTTTTAACTCTTTGTTTTGCTGTAAAATACGGTTGTTGTGTTTTATTCCTGTGACTGCAGCTTGTTGTGTGGAGACCGAGTGCATTCTCTGAGCTCTGCTGCTTTTTATTCTCTGATTAAAAGAAAACAGGGAAGAAGTTTAAACCAGGGCTTCTTAACCTTTTTGACCTCGGGGCCCAATTTGTTGAACATAAAGTGACACGAGGCCCAGTCAGACATTACTAATGTATGGATTTAAATAATAATTATTACAAATCTTGGTTTAATTTGTATTGTATTTGCATTACAACTAAATTAAAAACACTTACAGTATAAAAGTAAAACTCCTGTCAAATAATCACAATACATGATTATGACAAACATTTTTATATTGTAACCTGCCCATAACAATTATTTGTCAACAGACCACTCAGGCTTAACACAAAAATATATATTTACACATAAACAATAACAAAAATAGACAATTCAATAAATAAAATTGTAG